ATTTTTGTATTTTTTTTTTCTAGTGTGATCATTACTTTTCATTTTTAGTGTGATTGGTGGCCTTGGTGTTATGGGCTTTTATAGCGGATTTGATTTTTTCTTAGTTATTTTTTTTTTTTTTTGAAATGTTCTAGGCCAAATTTTCTGGTTTTGGTATGATCGATGATCACCGATTATTTTTTCCTTTTTTCCAAAATAGTTGATCGTTTCTCCTTTTGGAGTGATCGTTTTTTTTCTTCTTTTTTTAGTGTGTCGGCGGCTTTGTGTTATGAAGAATGAAGGTTTAAATTGCCTCTCCTGTAAATATCCGATGCAAGCATTCATCGGATTTTTGTCTAAGAAATCCCCATGAATTATTATCTGACTATAAGTGTGATTCCAGTTTTGTTGATGTGTTTTCAGGAATGAGACAACGAACTTGAAATTTTGAACACTGAAGTCTAAAAAAATAAGTATCGCTAAATACAGTTTGATTTTACATAGCGCAACTTCACAGGGGTATTTTAGTCTATCTTACAAGCTCCATGAAATAAAATTAAGGTGCACTTTTTTAAATTCCAAAAAACTATAAATATGTCACATAGGGATTTAATTCTATGTGGCTTATAGAGATACCTTTCTCTCTCTGGAGTTTGTCTTAATATAGTACTAGATGTTACATCCGTCCATTGGACGAGGTGGACATACTAAAACAGAAATTGTAAATTAAGGAAAATATAATGTTGTATCATTTAATGAATTTTATGTGAAAACAAAAATATTTCGAATGCTACATTTTTTAGACATAGAACATAGAGAGAATTTTATGTTGTAGTATTTAATGAGTTTTAGGGTTTCTCTAGAGTTTGCCTTAGTATAGCACTAAATATTACATCTGTCCATAGAACATAGATAGAATTTTATGTTGTACCATTTAATGAGTTTTAGGCTTTCTTCGTTGGAATTTGCCTTAGTAAAGTACTAAATGTTATACCCGCCTATTGGACAAGCCAGACATACTTAAATAGTAATTATAAAATAAGAAAAATAGAATGTTGTTCTATTTAATGAATTTTATGTGAAAACAAAAATGTTTTGAATACTACCTTTTTAAAAAATGGAACATTGAGAAATAAAAACACACTTTATGTCATTAAAATATCGTAATATTTTATTTAAACCTCAGATCGAAATTACATGAACAAAAAAAAGATGTAGAACCATTCAATCTCAAAGTACATAACCACATAGTTTACTACACTTCTTTGTGGAATATATTACCATCTTAATCACAGTTAATTCTTTAGTTCCTTATCTTGAAATAACTTTTGATAATAAAAAATATAGTTGCTCGTGACTGAAAACTGAGTGACAACTATAATTTCGCACTGACCTTACTTTTATTTATTATCATGACAAAACAAATGTAAAACAATATTGTCTTAAAGGAAACTGTCTTCGTTTCATTTGTGTTACTCCAGACTCCAACAGAGCTAAGAATCTACTGTGTATTTTGATAATGATCTCACATGGCTAATTACTAATTTATTTTTGAGAAAAGTGCAAGCACCAATTTTATTTACATAGCATCGGCTGTCATATTAGAAATGCTATTCAATGTTTTTTTTGTAACGCCGGGAACCCCACCAGAGATGGGTAAACCCACACCCACTGCAATAGCCATACTATTCAATGTTATTTGTGTTCTAATTGGTTAAAATTATTAAACACCCCCCCCCCATAAAGCCTACTAAAGAACAATAAATGTGTTGTTTATTTAAGAACCAAATTGAAATTAGAGAAACAAAAATAAATAAAACCATTCGATTTTGAATTACATAATTATGTATCTTACATGTGTTATTGTCTTGTTGACAATATTACCATCTTGAATGTATATTAGAACATTGATATCTTGTCTTGGAATAATTCCTTTAAGACAACATATAGTTGGCCATGACTAAAAATTGAGTTTAGCAAGTATAATCCAACTTGGAAGAGAGACTAACTTTTGATGTATTGACATTTTAAAACATAAGTGTACATAGATAATTTTCCTTATGCATGGGGTGAAGATTTGATGTTCCCTTTGTCCCAAAATTGATCAGTTTAAATTTCTATTTTATCATGTAGTTGTCCTAAAACAAATGAAGGGACTATGTGACATATTATGTATGTATGCATATTGGAAAAAAGATATATAAAATTCATTTAAATCATGTTTTAATGTGAAAAAATTTGAGAACCTCACATCGCTCCTGAATGGGATTAGATATCAATATATAAGTAAACAACAAATGCTCTTTAAATTCCTACAAAAATTCATTTACTCGTAGTATAGCTTCCATAATTTGTGCAAAAGAAAGAGGGACACTGTGACTAAGAGAGAGATAAGTTTTCTTTTGACATTACAGATTCAATGTCGAAAGTGGTTATTTGTTGTATCTAATGAGTGTCTTTTGAAAATCATTGGTAGTTACAATTTTGTTGGTGCTCTTATAAACTCTCTTGAATGAAATATGAGAATCAATCGATTTCGTGGTCCATTTATTCCCATTTTAATTTATCATCATTTGTGTTAGCAATGATTTATGGCAATGTGTCATATTTTCTTTATTTTTTTTTCCTATTGGGTAGTATAATCAATCTCCAATATATAGTAATTAATATTTCAATGTCCAGGAAAAAAAGTTCACATCAATTTACAAATCACAATATAGACTATTTTTTTTTTTAAGAACAAATGGGGTATCATTTATGTATCGTCAGAAGAAAAATGTTGTTGATAAATTTATGGCAAGAGTTTCCCTAAAGATTACAAATAGTCATTTGATTGATTAAAGAGAAAATACATGATTGCAGGGAAGTAAAAAGGAGGATATAAGGTTTAAAAATAAAATGGCCGCCATAAGTTCCTTTTTCTTGTCATCCCGTCATTGCATGTCTTAAAATGTGTACCAAAAGCTAAAAACAAAGGTTGCAGGTGAGGTTAATGACGGTTATACAAAAACGACACACATCAGCCAATTCGAAAACAACCAAACGAAAATTTGTAAACCCGTAACTACATATGCACTTCTATTGTTGTTCAATTCTCTTTCCCTATCAGACACTGTAATACACAGCAAAAGCAATCAACCACTGTGTTTATCTTCTAACCGGAGTGTGTATCACCATAATAGATTATAAAAACAGCACATACAATTCAAACAAAATTCCCATATCCCAAACTTATCTCATAAAGTAATACTGATCTAAACAGCTTCTGGCAGAAAGACAGAAATGTTTTGGTCATACTGATCTAAGCACAGGTGGACGCACATACACTTGTCTGCGTATAAGTTCTTCGATATCTGCGCGGAGAGATACGGTGGAGCATGCTTCTGGGCGAACATGGTGGACGCTTACTGTGTTCCCCACACCCCAATATTCTACCGCTGTGTGACAAAATGCTCGTTTGACAAGAACGGTGACCTGTTCAATTGTCATGTCCTCTCTAAACTCCGATTTTATGTAGTTTTCAGCCCAATGGGAAGCCCCACTACCCACCATCCGAAGACCTGGTACCACTTCTGTGTTCACTGGTAATATACCAGTAATATCAATCTTGCAAATCTGAGGAACCCCAGAGTCATCATTGAAACCAGCCAGAAGAAATATAGGGAAGTCAAACATCCACCCTATTCTTCCTAGCCAGTACGCATCTCGCATATAATACCAGAGGATGGCAGCTTGATCAAGCATAGGCATATATCGCCCCTCCTGGTCTTTTGAAAATTTATCAACCATGTATCTTAGATAGTTCGCAGCTTCACACCCAATCCGTGCACCTCCAGCAAGGGTAATCATCTCATATTTGTGGACTTGCTGCGCCTTTCCAGGGGCATCCCCAACTTGAACACAGAATGACTCTAGACGCATGTCATACATTCTGGCATATCTAGAGTCAACAGCCACACTAATGATGCCACCATGCGCCATAACAATAGTGCACGTACCTTTGATATTGTCAGGCTTGGTGTCAATGCTAGATACCAGCCAATCAGGGACTCTGCGAACATACTTATCTATGTAAGTTGGCCAGTCATAGTTGATGATATGATCTACCATTGGTATGTCCAAGACAACGTCCGTAGCTACCAGAATGGGAGTGGTTCCGAGCCTGAAAGATTTCAGCGCTTTTTCTCTCTCCTTCAATACATCAGAAAAGAACAGAAAAGATTCAATCAGACACACACTATCCTTAATATCATATAAGACCAACGTATCGGAATTATTAAGCAGGAAATTTAACTGTGGTGTCAAAGTAAAAACAGACACTATTGTCTGCATACACTGATGATGCCACTGATCTTATGAACTAAATACACAGCATAAGATTCAATTGGACACACACTATCCTTACTATCATGTGAGACCAACTTATCAGAACTAAGCAGAAAATAGAATTATGTAAGGAACTGATCAGAATTAATAAGCAGAAAGTAGAACAGTGAAGTCAAAGTAACAACAGACGTTATTGTCTGCATACTGATGCTGCCACAAGTCTTAGCACATTAAAAACTAATTTCACAATGTACTACAAGTCAGTGCTCTAAATTTGTCTTGAAGAAAGAATAGTTTAGATGTATAAGAGGTACAACCACAAAAACACATCCAATAAATGCTTGAGAAAAAGATCGATAAAAATAAGACATTAGAAAGTGGACAAAAAATGCATAATCTTTCTATCTTTCTTCGATACATAACATTCAGTACCAAGATGAACTGAATAAAAGCATAGAAGAAATTCTAATTTGACTTACAAGTGGTACTTTGTCACCATGTATAGCAACAGAAGGAATTCCTTTCATCGACAACCAGCTCTGCAGATCATTGGCTCTTCTCTTTGTTGCCACGAAGACTAAAGTTAAAGTAGGCTGCCACAAAATATAAAAAGTATGGTTGGCTCGAGGAGAGAATTGTATGAATCAGAGAACATGGCGCCTAAAGAAAGAAACGTTAAAATTCATTTGCGGTACCTTTCTTTGAGAGCCATTCGATCTCTGAGATCGAAGAAGGCTCATCAGATGAGTCTTCTTGTCCATGTCAGAAATAAATTGCGTCTTTTGAGAAATAAACTCAGCAGCTGGTCCACCTTTCACAGCAGCTATGTACTTGGATGAGAAATTCCTCTGCCTCTGCAACATTTAGTTTGAATATTTTAAGAGGATCCAAGCTTATGAATCAAGGAATTGAATAAGAATAACAATCTGAGACACAAAAACATAATGAAATGAATACCGACTTGTGATTCAGTAGGGGCAACTCTCCTGTGATCATGCCAGCCAAACTTTAGGCCACTGCTGCAGTTTACTCGAGGAGTGAAGCTGCTGCTGTATGTCTCAGCATATTCCGAAAGCCAGGAAGGAATTTCTTGGTTTGCCTTCATCATCAACTCAACAAGAGCCTTTGCCAGGGGCGCATTTTTATCACTGAAAAATGCAGTGGCTAATCCAGGTTTACCAGCACGTCCAGTCCGGCCAATCCTGTGCACATACTCGTCTATGCCTCTAGGCAGATCATAATTTATCACATGAGCAACATGTGGAATGTCCAAGCCTCGAGCTGCCACGCCTGTAGCTACCAGGATTGGAGTGACTCCGGTCCTAAAAGATCTCAGTGCTCGTTCTCTTTCCTTCAATTTATTAGGAAAGAAAAGCAAAAGACTCAAAAAGGGAACTATGCTTACGATTATAGCATCAACTGGTTAAAACTAATAAGAACAAAGAAAAATGTCCACATTAATAATGCTACAAAAACATGGACTAATGACACCAGGAGCCCAAAGAGATAGCTGGCATAAGCACATTAACCAGAAAGTTCGCGACTTATTATGGGTTAGTGCTTAAAACTGTGTCGTAGTTAGAATGATCTAGGTATATGACAAGGGCAACCAAAAAAGACCTCAAAGCGTCACAAAAAAGTTTGACAAACAAATGACAATCAAAAATGAGCAAAATGCATACTCCTCATCTTTTTTCAACACAAAACATTCAGTACCAAGATATAATGAAAACAAAAGTCACAGGTGGCATCCTAATCTGACTTACCAGTTGAACTTTGTCACCATGTATAGCAATGGAAGGAAATCCTTTCATGGATAACCATTGCTGCAAAGCATCAGCTACTCTCTTAGTCTCCACAAACACCAAAGTTAAAATAGGCTGCAAAAAATATAAACATGTTTTCGGCTCAAGCAGGGAATTGTATGAATGAGAGAACGTGATGCCTAAAGAAAGCAACATTGTCAAAGTTCACCCGTTGTACCTTCCCTTGAGAGTCATTTGATCTCTGAGATAGAAGAAGGCTCATCAACCGACTCTTCTTGTCCATGTCAGCAACAAATTGCACCTTTTGAGTTATAAGATCAGTGCTTGATCCAACTTTTCCAGCAGATAGAAATATGTAGTTCGATAAAAAGTCTGAAGCAAGCTTCTGCAATTAAATTTGATTACATTGAGGAAATCCGAGCATTAGGACTGGATCAATGAAGGAATAAAAGACACAGAAACAAAGTGATACAAATACCGACTTCTATTTCATTAGGGAATGTTGCACTGAAAAGCATAGTCTGCCTGACACCTGCACGTGGCATTTCCATTTGCTGGACAATTCTCCGAAGTTGGGGTTCGAACCCCATATCCAGCATCCTATCAGCCTCATCAAGAGCCAAGAACTTCACATTCCTAAGTGACACTCTAGCTCGTTCTATCATATCAACCAGGCGCCCAGGAGTGGCAACTAGGATGTCAACACCCCTTTCCAGATTATGAAACTGCAGCATTCAATGCAAAATGTCATGATTAATTTACCACCCAGACCGTGTATTAAGTGCATGGTACTTGAATAATGCACAAAATGTGAACCTACACCAACATAGAAGTAAGCAGAAATAACTGTATGAACCCAAACAAGAAACCAAAGTAAGGCTTTAATGATAAGAGACTGGCTAATCATCAACAATATCTAAAAGGTAACACTTGGCAACACTAAAGCAGATTAGGAAGGAAAAAGACTAATCTTAGCCAGCTACACAGCCATTTGTTATTTATCATTTGCAAAGTTAACATAACAAAAACAATCGAGGTTACACTCAAAGAGACAACAGAATACTTGCATAATGCAGGGTAAAATGAGGAAACATAAAATATTCAGAACTGTTGACTATCATTTGCTGCTGATACCAATTACAGTTAATGATTTGCACAAAACAAAAGAAAATCAAAGCTAGCACCGGATTACTGATATAAGATACAGCCAATGTGAAGGAAACGCAATACCTGCTGAACAAATGGTGCTCCTCCGTATGCCACCACAATCTTCACCCCTGTCTTGTACGCAAACTTCATAGCTTCATCATGTATCTACATCAATTCAACATAAAATAGTTTCAAATCTTAGTTAATTTTGTCATAAGCCCAGCACATCAAAGTTAATTTAATCACAAGCCCAACACGAATTACTATGTAATAATGGTTATAGATGATGAGCAACAGATTTATTACACGCACAAATCCAAAAAAAAAAACAGGGGAAAAACTCCTCGAAAGTAAAAGGCGACAAGAAAATTGACACAGCTGACCGGAAATTTAAAAAATAATAAGAGGGCCTACCTGACAAGACAGCTCTCTGGTAGGGGCAAGGATGAGGGCCAAAGGACAGGCCATATTCAAGTTCAAACCCCTACCTTCAACCAGGATTTGTGCGGGGGTTTTAGCGTGTTCTTTCAATACCCCACTAATGATTGGGAAGCAGAAGGCGGCTGTTTTGCCGGACCCAGTCTGAGCACAGGCCATGAGGTCTCGTCCGGCCATGGCTACCGGAATTGCGTAGCGCTGTATGGGCGTCGGCTTCACATAGTTGCAGCGCTTGATGTTCTCCATGAGCGCGGCGCTAAAATGAACATCGGCAAACGAGTTCATGCTAGGGGGGACGTCAACCCCACTAGTCCACACCGGAGACGGAATGTCAAAGCCACTGGTCTCCACCGGCGTGTCGTCGTAAGCGTCGAGGTTGACGTTTGAAAGACCTTCTTCTACGACCTCGAGCTCATCAAAACTCTCGGAAGACCGGAATGGCTGTGCCTGAGACTGAGAGTACGGATATGGACCCGGGCCAGGGTCGGAGAAGGTTTCCCTGAACCGCCAACGTCCTCGGCTCCCTCCGCCCCATGATCGGTCCTGGTTTGGCCCTCTACTTCGAGAACCGCGCCCATGTCCCAGTCCCCAGCCAAGTCGAGGCGGACGGTAAGGCGATGAGGAAATGGAGTCGGTTATGGGGGGCTGATAGCGGAGGTGGGGTGGAAGGTACGTGGGTCGAGTGGGACTTTGGGACCGAGTCGACTCGTTCCAAGACATTGACATTTTTTTTTTCTCTTACCGGCGACGGTGGGTGAGGTGTAAAAGGAGATGGTACGGACGGGGAGGGGTGGTGGTGGAGGAAGGTGGCGTTGTCTTACGGAGAGAGAGAGAGAGGGAGGAGGGGGGTGATAAGTGAACAACTGTATTATGGTATACTCTACTGTGGCACTGTGTGTAGTTGGTAACTGTGATATTTACGGAATTCAGAAAGCTTTTGTTTTTTTTTTCCCTTTCTTTCTTTTTCCTTTTTGGTGCAAACAGAAAAACAGTTGAAGTTTTTGGGTTGCAAGTACCATTTGTAGAAACTTTTGGTCCTAATCGCAATTTTGAATTTTGATTGGGTGTTGACTGCTATATTTCTTACAATTTCATATTAGTCTTAGGGTCATAGAGTAATTCCTTACATTTCCTTGGATGTAGATGATATTAATTCTGACAAGCATATAGCTAGTATGCCTCCGCCTACTGCCTAGGGTTTGTAGATATGTAACAGAAAGGAAAAAGGGTACAAAGTTGAGGAAATTCATTTATTGTTGAGTTGCAGCTTTGGAGATATAATTAACACCTTTTCTTTTAGTTGTGAATTACTAATTGGTAAAAGAAAATATCAAATGCACTAGAACTTTCAAGTTATAGACTAATCGTAAAATGTAATTTGCTCTAGTATAAGTCATGTTCTTTTAATAAACCAATCATTTGACCCAAAATCACTCTCAAATGGTAACAAATCACACGACGTTAATTTGCCGATACCATCTGTTCAAATATCAATAATCATATTAAAACAGGAATTACAAGTAAGAAAGCAATTCGTTGCAGTTAACAATAACTGTGATAGAAGAATGAGAATTGATACTGACGCTCGAATACAGAGAGATGTTCGGTGGTGGACATTGGGAGATGAATGAGAGAATGTGCGTGAAACAGTATGTATGCTGGTATAATTAATTACTCATCGTGAGACTAAAAATTAAAACAGTTAAAACACACACACACACACCAGGGAATCTTTTTCAGAGCCCCCTTTGCCTACTTTTATTTGGCGCAAAAATCTCGCATGGATCATTTTTTTTTGGGTCGTGCTGTTGAGCGCCCTAATTTTTTCATTTGAACGCCCGAAAAAGACATACATGCCCCTATAAAATAGAGTTGATTTACAAAAAAAAAAAGTTTGGCGAGGGAGAAATGAGCCACCCCTTTAAGGGGTGGCGAGAAAACCTTCGCCATGCGGCGAAGGTGTGGCGCCCTTCTGGGCGCCACATTGGTGCTGGTTGGCGAGCTTTTTGCTCGCCAACCAAAGGGTGGGTGGCGCCATTTTGTGCGCCACCCACCTTAATTACTTTTTTTTTTATAATTTTTTTATTTTTATTTTATTTATTTAATTATCTTTAATTTAATTATTTTTAATGTATTTAATTAATTTCTTTTATTTATTAGCTTAATGAATTTATTTAATTCATGTATGTTCTTAATTTATTTATTTATTAAAGTTTATTTATTTGTTTGGTGGTTAAACAAATAATTTTAATTTAAATATTAAGAGAATGTTGCTTAATTATGTAGTAAATTTTTATAAAAATTTATCATTTACTTATGTAAAATTTTTTAAACTTAAACAAAAAATTATTATTTAATAAAAACTAAAATTTATGAATTTACTACCAAACAAATTAATTATTCATCATCGGTGCATCTAGCCGTCCTGGGAATATTTTTTTGAAAAAAAAATATAAAATTTAAAATACGTTGAAACGAAAAATTAAAAGATTGAAAAATATAAAATAATTTTATTTATTTTTTAATATTTTTAAGCGCCAAATAGATAAATAAAAAATAAACTTAAATAAATAAATAAATAAAATAATTAATTAAATAAATAAATTAAAAAAAGAAAAGAAAAAGTAAATTCGGTTTGGCGAGCAAAACGCTCGCCAAACCGAAGGGGGTGGCGCCAGATTTTTGCGCCACCCCCATTTTGGGGGTAAAGCTTCCTCTCGCCTCCCTTAATTGGGAGGCGAGAAAATTGTGCGCCACCCTTTAAAGGGTGGCGCAGTGCTCCATCGCTACACCCTTTTTTTTTTAAAAAAAATATGAATTCAGGGGTAAAATAGTCTTTTTGAGATTTTTTAGGGCGTTCAAATGAAAAAATTAGGGCGTTTAGTAGCCTCCCAGTTTTTTTTTCCCCTTTTGTTCTCTTTCCTCGTCAAATACCAATTGTCTCTTTTGTCGGCCAAGCTTCTTCCTAGGCAACCCAAACTAACCAAATCCAAATAGGAACCTTGGAGATGGAGACAAAATAGAACACCCACCAACAAATGAGTAATTTTTCATTTTCTTTACTTGTTTTCCAATCAATTCCGACCATTAAGGCTTTGTTTGTTTCCTTTTTATGATGGTAATTTCAAATTAAATTATTATTAACTATCTTATTTCAACATATGTTTTTACATTTTTAATATACTTTTTTTACATTTTTAATACAAAAAATACCTAAAAATACACATTAAAAAACGAAACAAACAAACACTAAAATATCCAACTCATCCTACTTGTTCTTGTGGGGAGGCATTTCCTACAGAAATCTTTTCCAGACAATTAAATAGAAAACGAGTAGAAAATTGGTTGATTTAAATTGGTAATGGAGGCGAAATTGACTTGCTTTGAAAAAGAAGAAGACGACAGTTGAATTATTTTACCCTCAACGTTTGTTTCTTTTATATGACTCACCAATTTGTTGAGCAATCCTGATGTTTTTTTTTTAATTGTTTTTTTGACAAGCAATTCTGATTTACATTAGACCTTTATTCTTTTTTTTTTTTTTTGCAACTAGAAATTTGACAAGAATTATTTTGTCCAAAAAAGATTCAAATTCTCATTTACAACTTGTTTGAAAATTAACGTAGAAGATAATAGTTGCTTGATAACGTGTATATATATATTTAATTTCTTAAATAATTTGAGAGAGTAACAAGTGTGATTCAATACGAATTTAACAAATTAATAAAAATGTCATTGAAAATGAACTCCTCCTTTCTTGGCAACAGAATCTAGAAAATGGAAGAGTTAATTTTATTACTCCCTTTTCATACATCATTCCCTTCTCAAGGCGGAATTTGTATATGTTTTAAAGGAAACCCTCTTTTAGTAGTTAGTACAATCATAAGAGCTTATTACACCAAAATGATGTATACCCAAAAGAACAAAAATATTACACCGAAAAAGGAACATTCATTTTTCCCAAAGTCTCGTAAACAAGACTACTCTTTCACAATTTGGAGTTACGTGGTTTTGCAAGTACTCTTACAATTAGAATGCAATTTGTTAGGTTTGAAATAAATAACAATAAAATTATACTCCTTCTGTTCACAAATTAATTCCATTAAAGAAAAAGTTAAAATGTTTCAAAAAAATGTCGTTCTCACGAATGGAGACATGTTTTGTGAATTTTTTTTTTAAAAAAATTTGCTTTTACATTGAACATTTTAATTTTCTTTAATGTAGAATTGAATTAGAACTAAATATTTTTAAAACTACAACTATATTAAGAATAAATGAGAATATTACAATATTTTAACAAAGATAATTATTACCTGTGACATCAGCGGATGTACATAGGCGACCGGGGGTCGGCGGACCCTCCGGGCTGCGAAGTTCGGCGAAATTTTTTCCCTTATTAGGATATGTAATTTGTTACGCTGGTGTTGAAATTTTCAGCTGAGCCCCTTAAACGAAATTAAAGAAATGATGATTTGTATTTAGTTGAGTCCCTGTAATGTTCAAATCCTAGTTCTACTATTGATCTGTAAAAATCTCGTAAGCAACATTTATTTGTGAAGGAAGTGAGTATAATGTTTTGTTAGTTTAATGTCAGCATTAAAGCTTTCGATATCCTGGTAGAGTTCAAACAATGTTGTATTAGTGCAGTTAACTTTATAGTTCATAACTCAATAAACAATCCGGGTCGGAGAAGGTTTCCCTGAACCGCCCGCCTCCGCCGCTTCCTCCGCCCCGTGATCGGACCTGATTTGGCCCTCTACTTCGAGAACCGCGCCCATATTCCCATCCCCGGCCAAGTCGAGTAGACCGGGACGGCAAGGAGGAAATGGAGTCGGTTAAGACGGTCTGGTACCAGAGGTTGGGGGAGTGGGCCTTTGGGACCGAGTCGACTCGTCCCAAGAAACTGACAATTTTTTTCTCTTACCGGTGATGGTGGATAAGGTGTAAAGGGAGATGGTACGGACAGGGAGAGGCGGTGGTGGAGGGTGGCGTGTTTCTGCGACAGAGAGAGAGTGTGGTATGATGAGTGAACAACTGTCTGTGTGACTGTGTGCAGTTGATAAGAATTCAGAAAGTTTTCTTCTTTTTTTCTTTCTTTTTTCCTTTTTGTTGCAAACGGAAAAATAGTTGAACTTTTTGGGTTACCAGTAAAACAGTGCCTATTTGTAGAAAAATTGGTCTAATTGCATTTTTGATTTATAGTTGACTGGATTCGGTTATGGGGAGCTGATAGCGGAGGTGGGGTGGAGGGTTCATGGGTCGAGTGAGTCGACTCGTTCCAAAAAACCGACATTTTCTCTTCTCTTACCGGCGACGGTGGGTGAGGTGTAAAGGGTGATGGTACGGACTGAGAGAGGTGGCGGTGAAGGGTGGCGCTTTCTGTGAGAGAGGGAGTGAGATGAGTGGACACACGTATGATGTGTGTAGTGTGTACTCTTAGTGTGTGACTGTGTGTAGTTGGTAACTGTGTGTGATATTTACGGAATTCAGAAAGTTTCTTTTATTTTCTTTCTTTTTCCTTTTTGGTGCAAACAGAGAAATAGGGACAAGCTTTTTCTTTCTTTCTTTTTTTGAAATGGAGGGACAAGTTATTAGAGAGAAGATTTAGGAATAGTAGTATTAATTAGGATAAGAAAATAATTTTGGAGTAACAAATTAATAAAGATGTTGTTATAGAAAATGAACTCCTCCTTTCTTGGCAACAGAATCTCGGAAATGGAAGAGGT